CCCTGGATTCTTCGTGAAGGTGCTAGGTGGGATGCCCAGGAGGGCTGAGGTGTGAAAGTGTGGAGCTCGGTGGGGAGTCTGAGCCAGGAATCTGGAATTGGGAATTGTTAGCTTTCAGACATGGGTGGAGGGGGAGGGACTGTATGCAACTTCCCAGAGGGTGTGTGAGGACTGGGAGGGTGTGTGGACTGGGGAGGGGGCCCCGGGGACCTCCGATATCTTAGAGGTGGACAAAGGAAGACTGAGCCCACAATGGAGGTAGAAAAGGAGCCTTCAGGGGGCAGAAGGAGGATGAAGACAGGTCTCCTGGAGGGCAAAGGAAGATTTCTGAAAGGAGAGAGCTCTCTGAGTGACCACCACCCTGAATGGGTGGGTTCTGTGGAGTGGAGGCTCGGGAGCCAGCTGGCGTGGGCCGAGGATACCTGGAGATGAGGAAGCTCAGCAGAGACTCTTCTTTCCGGAGGCGTGAATTCCTGCAGTCATGGCAATGCTTGCTCAAGACAGCTCAAGGCTGTTGAGTGCGGACTCCTGATCTCCCAGACCAGGCATTCCAAAGTTGCTGGATCATATGGTAATTAGTCTGTAAGATTTTAAAACAGTTTTTCCTGATGATCTCTAGGATTGAGTGTAATCTTAAAAAAAAAAAAAGGAAAGAAATAAGAAAAAAGAGGAATCCACTGTGTCGCTTTGCAGACCTCATTGCCCTCCAGGGCCATCCACAAGGTCATGGTGAAGGGCAGGGGCTCTGGGCCCTGTTCGCTGTCTCCAAGGGGTGTGAGAGCATTAGAGACTCCTAGGATTTTAGTTTGCAGGCGGTCCTGGTGGCCAGAGAGAGGCTGCATAGGTGACATGCAGCTGGACGCCCTTTCAAACATCGTGTTTCATCCCCATCTGCCCAGAGTTGCTTGCACAGAGAAACGGATTTGCATGCGTTTCCCCAATTTCCTGTTCCGGGCTGGCCTCTGTGAGGGCACAGACAACAAGGACGTGTCCCCCGACTGGTCTCAGCCCTTGAACAAGCACTGCCCTGGCCAGGCCCAGTTCAGAGCTGCTGTCAGTGGGCTCTGGGAGCCGCCGCTGTCCTGGTCTGGGGTTATGGCTGAGACCTGAGGCTGTAACCTAGTAGGTGGCGACCAGCCTGGGATGTGATGGTGGCGGGCTCTGCAGTGGTGGCGAGGGAGTGTTTAAATGCACACTGCCCTCTGCAACCTTCTCCCCTTTCTTTCACACTGGATCCCTGATGTCACGTCTCTTCATGACACTCCACGCCATGAGACTTGCAACTTCCACGTTAGCATGTTATCTTTAAAACCATTGAAAAGAGGCCGCTTTTGGTGAATGTGCTCAAGGAAACCGCTGCTCCCCATCCCTCCTTCCTCACGCTTCCCAGTACTGGTTATTTTGGGGTTTGGTTACGTTTTCAAATGAAGTGGCTGGGAGGAAAGACTCCTCTTCCCCCTCCCCTCCCCCTCCATGTCCCCTCCCCTCTGCTCCACACTCTATTTATAGAGCCCTGTTTTAGGAGCTGGAGATCAGTAGTGAACAGCGCAGGCCAGCCTTCCTCTCACGGAGCTTGCGTTCTAGTGGAGGGAGGAGGACCCGGAACGAAGGAACACAAAAATAAATCAGGTAATTCCAGGTTGGGATCCATGCTACCAAGTACGTACCCAGGGTGCCTGATTAGAGGAGGACGGAGGGGGCCTCCCTGGGGGGGGACCTGAGGGATGAGGAAGGCCCATGTAAATATCCGGGGGAGCTTGCCAAGCAGAGGACTGACCAGCGTGGAGGCCTAGTTGGGAAGGAACTTGGCATGGGTGCAGAACTGAAAGAGGACCCGAGTGCCCGAGGCTGGATGGAAGGAGGGAAGGAGAGGCCCAAAAGGTGGGCTGTGGGGGAGCGTGGTTTCAGAGTGCTCAGGGCAATCATTTTAGGGTGTTAAGCAGTGGTCAGAGGAACACTTTAGAGCCCCCCGGCTGCTGTGGGAGGACAGATAATACGGGGAAAGTAGAGGCATGGTGACCATTCTCCCTGGCTAACTCTGTGGCTGTGGGCCAGTCCCTTATCCTCCCGCCTCGGGTTTCCCTCTGCCCAGGGTGGCGGCTGAGGTTGCCCGCCGGGCGCCCGGGCAGCCTGGACACATACGGTTTTGAGATGCCTTGCTCTATGTTAAGCCACCCCACCTACCCTCCAGCATGGCCCCTGACCACCCACCCTGTCACTACCCTGCTCATTCTAGACTCTAGACCGACATCCTTCTTAATCTTTTTAATATTAGAAATCTCAACCATAAAGGAAAATGAAAAGACTAGCAAATAAATACTGGTATATTCAACCATTAACATTTTGTCATTTTTATATTTGCTCTATCTATAAATGTTTTTTTTTCTGAATCATTTGAAGGGTGCAGACATCATGATCTTTTATTATAAATACTACAGTATGCATCTCTTAAGAATGAAAATATTCTTAATGTAATAAAATACATTCTTTTTTTTTTTTTTAAACGTTTTCTTTCTTTCTTTCTTTTCCCCCAAAGCCCCAGTAGATAGTTGTATGTCATAGCTGCACATCCTTCTAGTTGCTGTATGTGGGATGCGGCCCCAGCACGGTCGGAGAAGCGGTGTGTCGGTGTGCGCCCGGGATCCGAACCGGGGCCGCCAACAGCGGAGTGTGCGCACTTAACCGCTAAGCCACGGGGCCGGCCCTAAAATACATTCTTAATACAATCAAAATATATTCTTTTTTTTTTTTTTTTTTTTTTTAGTGAGGAAGATCACCCCTGAGCTAACATCTGCCAATCCTTCTCTTTTTGCTGAGGGAAGACTGGCCCTGGGCTAACATCCATGCCCATCTTCCTCTACTTTATATGGGACGCCACCACAGCATGGCTTGACAAGTGGTGCGTCGGTGTGCGCCTGGGATCCGAACCAGCAAACCCTGGGCTGCCGCAGCAGAGCGCGCGCACTTAACCGCTTGTGCCACTGGGCCGGCCCCTCAATAAAAATATATTCTTAATGTAATAAAAAATGTGGTATATACTATATACCATGGAATATTATTCAGCCATAAAAAAGAATGAAATCTTGCCATTTGTGACACCGTGGATGGACCTTGAGGGTACTATGCTAAGTGAAATAAGTCAGACAGAGAAAGACAAATACTATATGATCTCACTTATATGTGGAATCTGAAAAACCAAACTCATAGCAACAGAGAATAGATTTGTGGTTGCCAAAGATGGTAGGTGGTGGGGGAGGGGGTGGGAAAAATGGCTGAAGGTTGTCAAAAGGTACAAACTTCCAGTTATAAGATAAATAAGTTCTGGGGATATAATGTTCAACATGGTGACTATAGTTAAGAATATTGTACTGTGTATTTGAAAGTTGCTAAGAGAGTAGATCTTAAAAGTTCTCATCTTAAAAAAAAATTTTGTAATTATGTGAGGCGATGGATGTTTGTTAACTAAACTTATTGTGGTGATCATTTCCCAACACATACAAATATCAAATCATTATATTGTACACCTTAAACATATACAATGTTATATGTCAATTATATCTCAATAAAACTGGAAGAAAAAAAGAATAAAAACATTCTTCCATATAGCCATAATCAAGAAAATGAACAATAATCCCTTACTATCACCTGATATCCAGTCCGTATTAAATTTCCCTAGTTAGCCCCCAAATGTGTTGTTAGCTTGTTTGAACTAGGATCCAATCAAGGATCATGCATTACATTTGGTTATGTCTCTTTAGTCTCCTTCAATGTAGAATATTCTCCCTCCATCCCATTTTCCCCTCGGATACTGACTTTTTGAAGAGCCAGATTGGTTGTCTTGTAGAATGTCTGGATACTGGTTTGTTAAGTTATTTCCTTGTGGTGTCATTTAATTTGTTCTTCTATTGGCTATATTTCTTGTAACCTGGAAATTAGGTCCAGAGGTCTGATTAGATTCAGGTTAAACGTTTTTAGCAAGAAGCCTTGATGTTATGAACTTCATATTGCATCCCACCAGGAGACACACAAGGTCAGGTAGTCCCATTATTAGTGATATTAAGTTTAATCATGTTCCTTGAGGGTAGGAAAATTATGAGACTCCCTCTTATATTTCTCCATAGTGTGTGAAAAAGGGCAGAACATACGGTAATGTGTAATAGACACAGTCAATTCTTGTTATTGGCAGGAATTATGTTCTACAAGTCACTGTGAACACTGAATTAGGGAATACAGAGCCATTGCTTCTAGGGGAAATACAGGGTTAGGTTCCTGTGAGCCTCTGGTCACATCATTTTTGTCAACTGACCAGTACAGAACCTTGTTTTATATGTGTTTCTGTTAAAAGACATTTTCTTTAATATATATTTTTGATTCATTAATATTGAACTCACAGCCAACAGCCCTGTAACTCATTCCCGAATGAAGCTTATCTAAGGCCTTTATTTCTCTGTAAGGCACCTCACAGCCTCCTTGAGCTTAGGAACCTTAGCCAGCCCTTCAGCACTATGCTTGGGGGCCATTTTAAACAGTGAAGTCACCAACAGAAAGAATGAAAAATGCAAAAACTGTGGCACTAAATAGACTGAAAAGGAGGACTTGCTTACCGTATGAGAGCTGAAACAAGAAGGTCGCCTTGTTTGACTTCAGCTGGGAATGTGCACGTCGGGCGACTCATCGCTCTGCCCGAGTCCCTGAATGACCACTTAAGAGCTACAAGGATTGATTTGGGGGGTACAAATAAATTTTAGTGAGTAAGTGAATTTGAAATATGGAATCTTCAGATAAAGAGGGTTGACTAAATGTGTTGGGTTAAAGCAGTTTGAATTAGCTGTGTGACCTTAGATTAGTGGCATTCCCTCTTACCTTACCTGTCCTGAGGCTGGGTGACCTTTGAGCTTTTTCCCAGCACTGGAATCCCTGGCACTGGGTTGGAATTGGGTTTTCTTTTGGTTTGGCTTCCCATGATTGGAAGGATCCTGATCACTTTCCTTTCGGTGCAGGTTTGTGGATTTCCACGCAGCTGCCTCCACCTGCTCGCCCTCCCGGGCCTCCCTGCTCACCGGTCGGCTGGGCCTCCGCCATGGAGTCACCCACAACTTTGCAGTCACCTCTGTGGGCGGCCTTCCACTCAACGAGACCACCTTGGCCGAGGTGCTGCAGCAGGCTGGCTATGTCACTGCAATGATAGGTAACCCCGGAGCCCCACAGCCTGGACCCCCATCTCCCACTACATCTACTGTGGTGGCTGCTTCGTGTTTGCATAGCCTCAGTGAGCTGCCATCTCTTCTGCTCTTGTCTGCTTTTTCATTTCTTTCTTGCTGTATGAGTTAGGAGTACTTTCAGCTATAGGTAATTGAAAAGACCTAACGATGGACTAAACCATATATGGAGATATTTTCCTCCCATTATAACAAGCTTAGAGGTAAGTGATTGCTTTCATTGGCTTAGCTGCTCAAAGAAATCATTTCTGTCTTTCTGCTCTGCTAACCTTACTCTGTTGGCTTCTGTTCTCTTGCTTATTGCTTCTCCGTTACAATATAGCAGCTTTAGTACTATTCACTAAAATTTGGCTCAAGGAAGGAAAAAGAGGGGAAGCAGTACCAACCTTATTTGTTCACTTTTACCAGGAAAGCAAATCTTTTTTCAGACACTTCACCTCCCCCCAGCAGAAATGCACTTAAATCTTAGTGGTGGAGCTGGGTCACATGGCCACCCCTTGCTGCAAGGAAGGCTGGGAAACTGGGATCAGGGTTATGATTGACTTGAACTTGGGCGCGGGTCCCTGACCCCCTGAACAAAACCTAAGTTCTATTAGCAGGATGAGTGGGGACATGCATAACCAGTAGCGTCTGCCACAGTCCAGCAGCTTCCTTTCCTTTTAAACTTTTGCAGGCACCTCTTACTCTGCATTTATTTTGTGCCGGGCACTTGGCTGAGTTTATTTGCATGGGGTACGGTGATGCCTTCTGAGATTACAATTGCCCCCATTGTCTAGGTGAGAAAACAGTTTCAGACAGGCAAAGAGACTTGTTCAATGTTGCCTAGCCTGGGGCAGGTGGAGGCTGGATCTGGACAGGCTCTTATCCTTTCTTCACCTCTGGTCTCCCCTCCAGAGGCCAAGACAACCCAGTGTCCCAGCAGCACCCTCAAGCTGTGTGTGCTTGTTATTCTGCCTCTCCAAGAGCTGGGTCCAGTGGGATTCCTGCCTCCCTCCACCATTCGTGAAGTGGCAAGGGAGGATGTGCCAACAAACTGGACGACAGCCAGCAAGGGTCCCTGTGGGGGTGTTATTGGTGCCTGGAGCACCCGTGTTAACCTGTGGGAGGTTGGCGTTTCTGATGTTGCCCCGCCTCCTCCTCTGGGTCAAGGATCCCGACATACTTTTACAGCAGGTCAAACCGAAGTGTGGCGTTCATTGTCCCAGGAGGGCAAGACCCAGTCGGTGTGAGGAGGTACCAATTAAGGTCCAACCTTCCTCTCCTTTTCAATCCCTTTCTCTCCATACCCAGAGGTATTCATACCCAGAGGTATTCATTATTGTGACGCTCCCACTATGGGGTGGGTGCTTTACTAGCCCTGTTACATACTTCCGTGTAAAGCTCACAGCCAGCTAGGGTTTGGTCCCTGGGCTCTCTGACTCTAAATCTTCCTGCTGCAACACAGGGCCGGGTTCTTCCTGAGCTGGATTTCATCTCGCCTGCCCCTCCCTCTTCATGCCTTAAACTCCAAGGAAGCAACTGATTACAGATGAACCATTCAGATGCTCCCCTCTCCCCTCACCACTTGTTACACCTATTGCGTGTCCGGGAGAGGATATTTACGCATCCACTTGTTGAGATTATGAATTTCCTATAAGCATGCTTATAGGAAAAATTAAAAACCTGCTGCAGGAATATAAAGTCCATTTACACCCCTCACACTTTGCTGCCCATCTAGGTCCATGTAAATGTGTTTCTACCTAGTTGTGTGCATACCACTTGGTCCTCCTTTTTCCCCTTCCTATTATTTTATATTTGCATGTAGTGTAATTTTACGTATTTATTATAATTTTCATAATTTTAAAATTGTAATATAATTTTATATTTCCATGTAATGCTTAATCCAAGCATTCCTCGTAATCCATTTCCCTCAACTTTTTATTACATTTTTTCCAAACCTCTAGAGCAGTTGCAAGAGGGAATCATAGACACCATATCCCCTTCACCTGTATTCACTGAGTGTTCATTTCTACTACATGCATTCATCTTGAAAAGAGAGTTTGGAAAATATTTTATTGAGGCCACATAAAATAATTTACTTAGTCATACTCCTGGGGTTGTCCGTGGATTTCTCTCCTTTGTGTTGTTTAATGCTGCCGCTGTTCAGAGCTTTGTACCACATTCTTTTCTTTGCCCCTTTGCCTTGTGGGTGATTTCCCTGGGGTCTTGACTCCTCAGAGCGGAATTAGCAGGTCAGAGAGCTCCAGCACTGGCAGAGCTCTCGCCACCCGTTGCCCAATTATTCCCTTGAACCAAATGCATTTACAGAGCGAGGAGCAGCAGGTGTCTGAGTTTCCTCATTTGCTGGCCTGGTGGGGGTCTCCGCAGTTGAACTGCAGCGGGGAGGCGGTCTCTTGCTCAGGCTCTGCAGGCTGCTGATGTTGACCAGAGAGGAAGATGAGGAAGCCAGGCGGGAAGCAGGCATCTCCGAGACTATCTGGGGCCTGCACCTGCACCCTGGGCCACCCAGCGCAGGAGGACAGAGTGGAGGGTGCCTTCGACTATGTGGGGTTGCTGTGGGCACTGAACCCTCTTTGAGGGGCAAAAGGTCAGCCTGCTGGCTTCTCTGGGCTCCCAGTAAAGGCTTGTTTTCCCCTTTCGCTGCGAGCTTTCCTGTGTGGTTCCTGAGTCATCCTTGCCTGCTGTCTCCCTCTGGACTGCCTCTCAGTCCCTGAGAGCAAGGCTCGCCTTGCACACGGCATTGCCGCCTCTCTTTGCTTGTCCTCCGTAAAGGGCAAGGCTGATGGAGGACTGAGTATGTGATCAGCTGCCCAGAGGGGCTGGGAGCCCCCACAGGGATTCCTCTGAAAGTCTCTCTCTTGCTTTCCTACAGGCAAATGGCATCTTGGGCACCACGGCTCTTATCACCCCAACTTCCGTGGTAAGAATTCTTTGGGGGATTTGTTACTGGGGAAACAGAAAAGAAAGATCTCTGTGTAAAAGGACTCCATGAATGTTTAAGCCACCCTGTCCCTGGGGGCATCCCTCCTAAGTTAGGACATCTTCGTTCACAGGGTCACTTAGGTGTAATTGGGGTGCCCGGGGCTCTTTCTGACTTCACATCCCTCTCACCTGGCACCTTACCTGCCACCCCACTTCCTTGATGCCTGTCTGCCTGCTGGCTCCCCCATTGTGAGCCCATCGGTGTTGTCCCTGACCCAGTTCTTCATGTCTCAGGGAACATTTGGCCCCCATGAGGTCCAGACATGTCTAGTGTAATAAGAAGTAAAAATTGTCTGATGGGTTCACTGAAGCAGGGAACCCGGCCATGAACTCAAACAGGAGCTGCTCCTTCTTGGCTTCTTCCTGCAGCCGTTCACTGCCTCAGAGTTCTGACTCTCTGGCCTTGGGGAATAGGCCATGATTAAGCTGCCGGAACCAATTCTCTGAAAATCAATTGGCTGATTGATGAGTTGTCTGAATGTCCGATTCACCGAATTATCAATGGTTGTTCAAAGCTGTGGTTTGTGCCACTGGTCTCCCTCCCCTGCCTGCCTCTTCCATTTCATATGGGAATCCGTGGCCTTTCCTTAAAAGCAGTTTATCGTTATCTCAACTTCCATGGCTTCTCCCCATCCCTGCTCTGTGTATGCTTCCCTCCCACTCCTGCCATTATAAGCAAATGGGTGACCTTTTCCTAAAAGGTGGTTCTCTGACTATTTTGCAGACTTCTCCTCTCCCCTGCCCCAATATCGCCCTGTATCTCTGTGGAAAAGGGCTTCAGTTCTCTGTTCTAGACCTAGGGGAAGTTTTTTGCATTTGGAGAATGACTTTCAGACAATTGGCCTGGACTCAGCCTTCAGCCTCTGGCTCCCACTAGCAGCCTTGTCAGCTGACATCCTTTCCAACTCTTGCCTCCCTGTGGTGCTACTTCCTCCCCCTCTCCTCTCTTGTGCCCATTTCCCAGTTGGGCTTCCATGGCATCTTTCGCGTGTGCTTTTTAAAAAATGTCAGACAGAGGAAGTGAAGACCTGGCTTTTCCACTAACTATAAATTACTCCAGAACTTTCTTTTCCTCCCTGGTCTTCAGTTTTCTCACGACAGTGAGGGGGTTGGACTAGATCAGTGTGTCAACAACTTGAGAGCATATTCCTAGAGTCCTGTGGTAGGGGGGATCTTGAGACTGGGTACTGCACAGCAGGAAGTGGCGCCATTTTGGATTCATCATGTCTGCCATGGGAGTGGGAAGAGAGTGGGAAGTGGGAAGAGAGAGCACCTCGCATATGTTTGCTGTCCCTGGACCAGACAGTCTCTAAAAGCCTTGCGGCTTGGACACTCTGAGGTTTCATGATTCCTGTCTCCAGGTTCACTCCTATTCCCTCCTACCTCTTATACCTCCTCCTGGTGCACTCTCCTGGTTCTCCATCAGCCTGATGGCTTCCCCTCCACACCCTTCCTAGATCATCTCTTATAGCTTAACCTATATATCTTATCTCCGCTTCAGATGGGAAGTCTCTTGAGGGCAGAATTTATTCTTTCATCCCTTAAAGTGTCATGCATGTAGTAAATTTTCACCCAATATTTACTGAATGTGTCCATAATTGCACTGGGGATGGTAGTTGTTCATTAATTCTCTCTACTTCCTCCCACTTCTGGGTTAACTCTAATCACAAGATTGCAAATCTAGTCTTACAGCCAGAACCCAGTGAAGTGTTTTCTTTGCATACTACAAAGGGATATTAATCAAATCCTCTTTTAATTACATACTCCATAGCACTGCAGTATTAAATCATGGAAAATTAAATTTTTGTCCTGGGTGTAAGAATGCAGGCTCACAGAGCAGCAGCCAAGTGGGGGTGCTAACCATTGCTTCTCTTCTAGGTTTTGATTACTACTTTGGAATCCCATACAGTCATGATATGGGCTGCACGGATACCCCCGGCTACAACCACCCTCCTTGTCTGGCATGTCCACGGGGTGATAGACCACTCAGGTAATCCTATCCAAGGCATTGGCTATGGGCTCCAGAGCCAGGTGAAGTCCTAAGAGTGTGGCCCATCAGGAGTAAATGAGACAGGCTGACAAGGGACAGTTAGGACAGCAAAAAAGATAGAGTGTGCATTCAGTGCAAACTTAAATGCATCATTTGCACAGAGTGCAAGAAAACTTTTACCAAAGGTGAGTTCTACAAAACTCTTCTATTGGACTTTTCCAGGTTCCTTGGACTGTTTAGCTCAGCTGGGGATAGCCTGGTGCTGCCAAGGTCTCACACAGGTGGGGCCTCCCTCCTCCTCTGCCTGCTAGCTCTGCTGCTGGACCACTTACCTGGCCCAGACACTGGACATCAGGAGGGATAGAGAGAGAGAGAAAGTCCACAGCGCTCCTTGCAAGTGTCACCCCCTGCCCTGACACATAAGCCCTCATTCCGGCCTTGAAATGCAGTGTAGGCACTAAACAGGATGTTTTAAAAACATATTCAATGAAATGGGAAAACGCTCACAATATAATAGTAAGTGACAAAAGCCGGAAGCAAATCATCAGAAGTGTGACCTTAACTACCTCTGTATCTATACCTTTATAGTCCTATTGAGAGGGACTCAAAGGGAATATGCCAGAATGGTAACAATGGTTCATTCACTCTGGTTGTGGGACTAAAGGGTTGTCATTTTTTTCTTTCCCATTGTATTTTCCAAATATTCTGTAATGAGGATGCAATACATTTATTATCAGAAAAAGGTAACAAACCTTATTCAGGATACAAAGCAACACAAACCAGATGCTTTGCTTGTTCAGACTGTGCACTGTGGTTATTTATAAGGTTACAGGTGGCTGAGCCGCTTAGGGAAGTGTCTCAGCTGGCTCATTAATAACAGTTGTTAATATAACGATGGCCGTTCATTGAGAAATTGTTACATTCTAGACACTGTATGTACTTCCCTGCAATTTACACGCCCACTGTGTGAGGCTGGTCTTTACTCTGATTTTACTGGTCGTCACGGAGCTGTAAAGTAGGGATGGAGACTTCAACCTGGGTCTCTCTGTGTCCAGAGCCCATGTCCTCTGCATCCTTGCTACTCAAAGTGTGGTTGCTGGACCAGCAGCATGGGGATCATCTGGGCGCTTGTTAGAAATGCAGAAGTTCAGATGCCACCTCGAGGTCTGCGTTTTAATAAGATGCTCAGATGATTCATCTGCATGTTGCAGTGTGAGAAGTAAGGCTGTAGAACATCTCGCTGCCCTCCTTACCAAGTGGGGCCTGGAGGTCACACCTGTGGTCACACCTAGCCATATCATGGTATGACATGTGTTGGCCAGCCCCTTTTCAATCCATGTTAAGGGCTGGCCCCATGGCGTAGTGGTTAAGTTCAGTGCATTCTGCTTCGGCAGCCCGGGTTCGCAGGTTCAGATCCTGGGTGTGGACCTACACCACTCGTCAGCCACACTGTGGCAGCGACCCACATATAAAGTAGAGGAAGACTGGCACAGATGTTAGCTCAGGGCTAATCTTCCTCAGCAAAAGAACAAATAAATAAATAAATCCATGTTAAGTCAAATAGAAAAAAAAGGTTGGCTTTGGGGGGAATCAGAGAGAGAATGTAAATGATGGTGGAGTTGCAACGAGATCATAAAAAGCTGAAAACTTTGACACAAATGATGAGATTAGCACTGTGATGTCCAGCACAGAGATAACTCTTTTTCTTTTTTTAGGAAATTGTGGTCCTTGGTGATGATCTACCCCAATCTGACCTTGTCTCTTAGCTTCCGTTCTGAGTATGTGTGCATGTAGGGGGACGGGGAGTTTTCATGTCTTCCCAAGTCCTTCCCTGCACCATGAGGACAGTTCCTCTACTTGAGAGGCCTTCAGTGACCCCCCCTTCTCTCTGCATTGTTCTCAGCTTCTCTCCTGGTTCTCTGCGGCAACCAGGACAGAGGGCTCGAGTTTTTATTGAGTTCCTAGTATGCTGAGCAGTGTGCAAAGCACTGACCATTTGTTATCTCGTTTAGTCCTCCCAATACCGTGTAAGGGGCACGGGCACCCCACACTTCAGACAAGCAAAGTCAAGCTCTCAGAACTTCAGTAATTTGCCCAAGATCACGGCCAGAGTCATTCCTCAGCCACACTCAGCCACATGAATGGGGCATTCATGTGTCAGATTCATTTCAATCTGCAAGACCAAGGGCTGAGTTTGTGTTTTCCAAGAGATAGAATTGGTTTGATCCTCACCTTTTCCAACTGCTAAAGTTTCTCCAAACTCTCCAAACATGGTTTGAAATTTTAAAATTGTTCCTGGCCTTCTGTCCTATTGTCAGACATCGTGTCACATGAAGTCCTGATTGTTGACTTAGGAAAATACCAAGAGTTGCACCCCATAGACAGAAGTCCTCGTCAGTGTGGTCAGTGGAAAAAACCAGGGATGGGGCTACTGACTGGCTATGCAACTCTGCTTGAGTAATTTCGTTTGTTTAGACTTTAGTTTTTCTCCCAGCAAAATGGGAGTAATAATGTCCCTAGTTCACAAAAGTCTTTGTGACCTTTACAGAGTGGCTGGGCTTGTCCAAGGAGCATAAACACCTACTCAAAGGGAATGGAAGGAGGTATTATATTGGTTTTACACTTGGAGGAAACGGCAGACTGGACAAATCATTTGGGGCCAGGCTCTTCAGTGTTTTGTTTTTGTGTGCATCACTGCATTAAAGCATTTAGTTCTACTCCATAACTACTTAGGTCGTGGAAATGAATACTCTATCCTCTGTGGTTTCCAAACAGGAACCTTGAGAGGGACTGTTACAATGATGTGGCCCTTCCTCTGTATGAAAACCTCAACATCGTGGAGCAGCCCGTGAACCTGAGCAGCCTTGCACAGAAGTATGCCGAGAAAGCTACCCAGTTCATCCAGCATGCAAGGTAAGGAATCCCCTGGCCCCCAAGAATTGGTCCCCCTGCTCCCACCCCCCATGCCCTCTGGCCTCAGCACTCCTCAGAGCCATGGTGGAGTTCCATTGCCCGACAAAGATGGATGTGTGTGTGTCTTCTGTAAATGAAACTGGAAAACAGTCCACCTGGAATCTCCAGGCCACCGTTAGAAGTTCCTCAGGTGTGTTCCCCGAGTTGCTGAGGCTTACCCATATCTCTGCTCAGATAATGCTCTACTGTCATTGTCATTTTGTCCTCTCCTACTAGAGTATAAGCTCCTTGAGGGTGGGGCCCGACAACTGTATTCTGGGCACTCAAGGCATTTGCTGAATTCATTAGTTGGCAGGGTGTATTCATTTCTTATCGCTGCTGTAACAAACTTACCACCAACTTATTGGCTAAAACAACAGCAATTTATTCTCCTATAGATCTGGAGGCCAGACTTCTGAAATGAGCCTTATGGGGCTAAAATCAAGGTATCTGCAGGGCTGTTTCCTTCTGGAGGCTCCAGGGAAGAACCATTTCTTGCCTCTTCTAGCTTCTGGTGGCTGCTGGCATTCCTTGGCTTATGGCTGCATCATTCTAATCTCTACTTCTGTTATCGCTGTGCCTTCTCCTCTTCTGTAGTCAAATCTCCCACTGCCTCTCTCTTATAAGGACATTTATGATTCCATTTAAGGTCTACCAGGAGAATCCAAGATAATCTCCATATCTCAAGATCCTTAACTTAATTGCATCTGCAAAGTTGCTTTTGCCATTAAGGTAATGCTCACAGATTCCAGGGATTAGACCCTGGATATCTTTGGGGACCATTATTCAGTGTAACCCCCAGGAGTTACAAATTCTAGCATCTACAGGGCTCAGGTAGGTAGCCTTAAAGAGGGAAGCAGACTGAGAGTAAGGCATTAGGGAGTGGTGGGGCCTCTGGTGAACTTGAAAGCAGATGCCCCATCTAAGGGGGCAGCTTCTACCTAGCTCCCGCTTCTTTGTGGGAATGGGAGTCTGGATTGTCAACTCTTTCCGTTTCACAAGAGAGGCAGAAGACCTAGTCCTTGTGTGAAATTTCCTGATCTTTAAATATTAGAAAGTACTAATTAAAAATAACAAAAAGCAAAAAACAGAACCAAGCCGCAGCGTGTCTCTCCCAAGCTGTCTATGTGCGAGGGCTGCTGGTTTGCAACCTTGGTCAGGACAGGGCAGAGAGTGGATACTGTGAAACAACAGACAACTCGCAAATGATGCGCGCTCACCTTGGGTGCACGGGCACACACAATCACCCCTCCTCTACCACCTCAGGCCTCATCCTGACCCTTCACAACGGCCCTTGTGCTGTCCTCTAATGAGCTCATGTGTGCTCATCTCATCTCTCTCCCAAGATTGCCAACTCCTCAAGGGCAGTGGAACAGTTTTCCAGTAGGTCCTTTGGTGTCTCCACAGCCTGAGCCTAACTGGGCAAGAAAAATGTGCTGTGTGCCTGTCGACTTGTGCAGAATTAAAAATGCACTCCACCTCTGGATGACCGATCACATCAGCTCCCTGAATGTGCAAGAATCCCCCCAACCCCTTGCTCAACCGCATCGGACTTTTCTAGAGAGGCTCTGAAGTGGGGATGGTGCTGCTCATCTACCAGTTAATTAATTAGTTAAAAGACAAACAAATCAATGAACAATAGGAAAAAGGTGAAGAGTTTGCTAATTGATTGATTAATGATTAAGTGAACAGTGACACGAACCCTGGAAAATAATCCTCAGGCGTGCTCTTTCTTTGGGATCTGACTTGCAGATTCATCTCGGATTTTCGAAGCGTCAGCAGAAAAGGCCTCCAGACCTGCACTTCTTCCTCCTCTTGGCCCCTGCCCCCAGGGCGAGTCCCGCCCCCTACCTGGACCTGTTTGTCAGAAATGAGTGTGGTTTCCTGCTTCTCCTTGGCAAGAGGCCCCCCTTAGGACTTCTGTGAAAGTTTTCACTTGGGTCTTTACTTGACTTTTGACGCTTAACCTAGCAGCGATGCTGAAAGCTAATCCTTCATTTGGGTTTTTTAGGCAGTAGGCAAAGCTCCGAATTGACAAAAAAGGAGAGAGCAGATGGCCTGGGATCCTGGGTCACAGCTGGCCAGCCCTCTGCTCCCTCCAGGGTCTGGGACTGCTCATTGAAGCTAAACAGAGGGTATAAGGTTTGACAGGGATGAGTGTATTGGGCATAGGTGTGAGCAGTAGCTTAGGGGATTTGAAATCAGAGTATGTGGCCAATATTCCAGGGCATTCATCATTCAGAATCAGGTCCTAGAGATGCACAGATGACAAACAAACCCCCGCCTTCCTGGGCTGGAGCCTAGGATCCGCATCAAGGTCTCACTTCTGTCTTCTACTTGACTCAACAGCTCCCCCTGCATTGCTCTCCCCTGAGAGTTGCCCCTCCTCATCTCCCTCACCCAGCTCCCACCTAACACCCACCAACCTGCCACCTGCATCTGGGATCCAGGTTCAGTTCCAAGACTATCCTCACCCCCATCCCCTTCTTTCTCCTTTCTCCTATTTGAATGTTCGAGTGAATAACGGGTGAGAACATGAATGAACTAATGGATAGTTAGGCAATGGGACCGAATGTCTTCTCCCTGTGCTGTGCTGCTTGCCTTGAATGGCCACCACGCACAGCCCACCTGTAGCCTCTTGTCCTTCAGCCTCGCTGTCTCAGGGATCTCTCCATTCCCTTCTCACCCCAAACCCTGTTTGGTTCCCGTGTCGTACTCTTCCACACCATCCTGCATGTATTTCTCCTCCGTCACCCCTGTTCACCTTGTAAATAATTATCTGATTAATATTTTGGTTGCGTTTTTCTCTCTCCTGTTTCCATTTGGATGTTGAGCTCCAAGAAGGTGGCAATCACATCTATCGTGTTCATAGCTCGATTCCCCAGTGTCTGAGGCCTAGTTAGAGCTTAATAAATATTCATTGACTGAGTGAATAATGAGTGAATTACTTTATCTAGCCCCAAAGACGTGCCCGTGTTGTGCTGGGGATACAAACGTGAATTAGAGCTGTCCTCGCTTTTGAGTGGCTCCCAGGCTAGTGGGGAAACAGATGTAAAAATCTGGCTTAATGAGCTTGTATGATCCATACCGATCAGTCCTATAAGGAAGTGGGGAAAGGGAAGGGAGGTTGTCCATGACCTGGGAGCAGAGGAGGAGTGTGGTGGCTTTTGAGTTGGATCTTAAGAATTGATTAAATGTTTTGAGTCAGGACACTAGGTGAGGTGTTTGAGAAGCTGGCATAGAGGAGCCAGGGAGGAAGGAACGCAAAGCTGGAAGGGACCCAGGCTGGAATGGCCTCATATACTGGATGCGGGGTTTGGACTGACCCTGCAGGCTGCGTGGAGCCCCAGTGGGTTTCTAAACAGGGAACTGTCAGGTCAAGTCTGAGTTTGAGATGGTTGTCTGTAACACCAAGGCCCAGAGGGATGGTGAAATGTGGGGGCAAGTGGCTATTGCAGTGGTCCATTCTAGAGTGACCCCTTGTCCGTTCAACCCCAGGGGGCCACCGGGAGGGCCAAGAGGGCCGAGAGCTGGGAACCAGCTAGGCAGGTGGCCACTCCTCCCTGCTAGAGGGAAGCCCTGCCTTTACCTGCAGGCCTGGCTCCCTCTGAGCAGGCGCCCACTGGGGACTTTCGTAAGAGGAGGGTGCCCCTCACCTGCCATTTTCCATTTCAGATCAGGTGATTTTCTCCGGATGTGGCTATCCCCAGGTCTTCGTCTTGAGCACATCTCCATGCTCTGCCCCATCTTCTCTCTCCTGGAATGTCTTCTCCAGCATCTTACGTGTTTCTTTGTCTCTGCTCATCACTCCTCTCATTTGGCCATACAGATAATACCTGTTCCCTTTAGAAATCTCTGAAAATAGGGATAAGCAAACAAAGAAAATCACCCTAAATGCTACACCCGTTTGGTAGATTTGAGCATTTTCTTCTAGCATCATTCTGTGCTGGTGTATAAATATATATATATATATATATTTTTCTTTTAACAAAAATGGAATCATACTGTCCTATAATCAGCTTTTTTTGGGAAAGCACCAGGTCTGCTCCACTCTTTATTTTTGTTCAGCACAGGAGCATAATGAAGGGGTGGCGTGGGGGATAGATGGCTCCCCAGGGAGCCAGTGTGTGTGGTTTCTGCAAGACCATCTCTATGAATTCTAGATCTCTATGAATTCTAGACTCACGCCATCTCTATGAATTCTAGATTCATGCCACGTCTATGAATTCTAGATTTATCCTGCATGGCATCAGGATGCAGGGAAAGAGGTACATCCCTGGGTACCATATATCCTTACTACTGCTAGCATGTATTATTCATAATTATTAATAAAAAGGCTACTGATTATTAAACGCTTACTATGGGAATTTAATAATCACAACTTTATCAGGGAGGCATAATTGTCCCCATTGTATAGACGACAGAGGTTAAGTTAATTGCCCAGGGTCACACAGCCATGAAATAAAAATTCCAGGGATTTGGATACAGGCTGCCAAAGCCTGTGCTTTTCTTCAGTGCACCCTGCCTTCTCTCACCGTTGCATGCTTCTTCCAGCTTCTGGCCCAGGGAGCTAATGGGACTTTGATAATGGGTGGGAGTTTGGAGGATAATGATGGGGATGGGACAAAGAGTGGGAGATGGGACCACCCCCCAGCCCGTATGTAATGGTGAGCTGGTAAATGTTTAACAGCCGGCACTCTGAGAGAAAAGCCCTGATTTGTAGTATTTGCCCATTTCCATGGTGTAAATACTCTCACTGTGGCTGATTTCAGCCACCAATGAGATGTCACTGAACATGGAGCTGGGGGGAGATGTGCAGTGGCACACCATCATGCGGTATTTCCACCACACAGGTACAATATACGTCAAATAACCCCAAGCCATAGATCATAGTAAAATATAGCAGAATAATTAGGATGTGATAAATCATGAGAATTTATCAGCTTTGTTCCTAAAATAATTTATTTAATTGTAAGTTTCTATAACTTAATTTTTAGTGGTGTCATGTTTGATAGCTGGCTTTCAAAATTCCTGAAATTTGAGCCAGCTCTATCCAGCACGCCACTGCAATATGGGATCTACCTGCAAATTAGCAAAAGGCACCCACTCAGGGTGGTCATTGATCTGTGCCCGGGTGCCCAGCTCGGCCAGTGGATTGTGGGCTGGAATTAAGTTCCTATTTGCTCTCTCAGCAGGATGTCCTCGTGCAGGACCCAACCTACACAACTGGACATGATCGTCTTTGCGAGAGCAGGCAACAGACACTAAATCAGCGCCATCCAATAGAACTCTCTGCAAGGATGAGAATATTCTCTATCTGTGCTGTCCAAGATGGTAGCCACTAGCCACCTGCAGCTCCTGAGCATTTGAAATGTGGCTAGCACAACTGAGACACTGAATTTATATAAATAATACATATAATATATAATTATATTATTTTATATTTATATGAATTTATATATATTTGTAGATTTATATTATATTATTATTATATATATAGTTGTAAAATATACATAACATAAAATGTATCTTTTTAAGTGTACAGTTCTGTGGCTTTAAGTACATTCACATTGTTCTGCACCCATCACCACCATCCATCTCCAGAACTTTTCATCATCCCAAATTGAAACTCTGTGCTCATTAAACACCAACTCCCCAATTTCCCCTCCCCCAGTCCCTGGCTACCCACCATTCTACCTTCTGTCTTGATGAAGTTGACACTCTAGGTACCTCCTATAAGTGGCCTCACACAACATTTGTCCTTTGGTGACTGGCTTATGTCAATTAGCATGATGTCTTCAAGGCTATTCTGTGTTGTAGCATGTGAGACACTGAATTCTTAATTTTGTTTAATTTTCATTAATTGAAATCTAAATAACCACCATGACTCATGGCTACTGCACTGGGCAACACCACTCTAGAAGTGTTGCAGAGAAACTGTTGATTAAAATGAGGAAGGAGAGGCCCCTGTCTTGGGACTTGTGTCTTGGGTTTTATGCCTGTCAAAGAGAGCTGAGTGCAGGCACAGTCCCAACCAGGGGACCCTGGGAGTCAGGATGCAGGAGGCTCTCCACGGTGCGGTTTGATGCAGGGCTGAGGCTGGGAGGACTCAGAGAACTTGATGTGGTGCGGTGTCAATCAGAGTAAGCCAAGAACACTGGGGCCAATTTGAAAGTCGAATCTCTGGGGGAACTGGTGGAAAAAGAGCCACACTTCTATCAGCGCTCGGTACGAACTTGAGGGAGCTCTCCTCTCACCCTTCCTGTGTCCTCTGAAAGATGCCCCCATAGGTGTGGTATATGGGAAGGGGCTCCATGAGGGTCCCTGCTGCTGCAGGAGCGGAAGGTTGTGGTCTGCAGCTGCCCTTGATCCTGTTCCTTGCCCGAGAATGGGGGTGGGGGACAGACAGGAAGCAGAGGACCCCCTCGCTCCCTGTTTGCCTTCCATGGGAATCTTCAGGGTTAGAAAAGGGGCAGCCAGGCGCCTGGGCCTCTAATGCAGCCTTCATCTAGCTGTTCCTGGGTGGTCATGTGCATCCTTGAAATTCCCTGTGGTCAACTTGAGTCATCCATTCATCTCGTAGAAGGGGCCGGGGCTGGGAAATGGACGTGGCGGCCTGGATGCTGCTAAACAGCAGATAAAGTTCCCAAATCTGTTTGCATCGGACTTGAGAGTGCAGCAGTTGAGAGCAAGGGCTCTGCTCTCAGCCAGGTCTGAGTTTCAATCCCGGCTCTGTCACCAATTGCACAAACTGGGACAAGTCCTTTCGTCTCCCTAAGCTTCTGAGGCTTCATCTGAAAAGGGAACTTGGGGGTCATTATGAGGATGAATTTAGGCAACACGAGTCGCATTTAATAAGCTCTCAGTGAATGAAGGACAGTAACGATTATTACAGTTACTCTCAGTTTTTGCTTGGCTAACCAGATTATCTCCACATTTCCTTGGAAGGTGTGGACAGATGTGTACTTCCTGAGCACATGGGGCAGAAGGTGTTCTGGGGTTTTCTCTGAGGCAAGGGAGAGCCACAGAGACATTGGACAAGCCAGGAGAGCCTTCTGGAGAGTGACCTCTTTGCTCTTCCACTTCAGCGCCAGTGGAAGACCCTTCCTGCTCTACGTGGGCCTGGCCCACATGCACGTGCCCTTATCCAGGACCCAGCTATCAGCAGACGCGCAGGCCCAAGGGCCGTATGGTGCAGGTCTCCGGGAGATGGACAGCCTGGTGGGCCAGATCAAGGGCAAAGTCGACCACACAGCAAAAGAAAACACATTCCTCTGGTTTACAGGTTAAGTAGTAAAACCCAGCCAGCCTAACTGAGATCTAATGGATAACCCTGCACACGCTCCCTGAAGAGCAGAGTCTAGCCAAGTGATTCTCCTTATCAGGGCAGGGGCTTGCTTTGAACTTGGGGCCTGGCTAATGTTTTTTAGTTTGAATGCTGAACATCTGTCCATTGAGGCCTCCAAGGCTGAGCCACTGGAAAGGTTTGCACAGTGAGAGCAGGTACCCTGCTGGCCCCTTGTGTATTGATTAGGGCCATCTGGGTATTGCTGTTAATTGTTAATGAATGACTTTGACATTGTGAACCTATGTAGTCCTCGGGCAGTTTAAAGATTCCCTCTTCACCATCCTCCCTGGTCCCAAAGACTCTGGTTGCCACTGTTCACCAGGTCACATCTCATGGCTGAGTGGGGCTGAACTACTGAGCCATTTAAAGGGCCCACACAGGCATTGTGGATCTCAGGTCCCTGTCTGGAATGAGGGCAGCAGAGACCTGGGTTTGAATCTATATGGTACTATTGAGAATTACTTTGACCTCTCTGAGCCTGTTTCCTCATGTGCAAAATTGAACTATAACAGAATCTACTCCACAGCTAGGTGGAGGAACATGAGCTAATGTATGTGGAGCGCTGGGCGCATCATAGGTGCTCCATGAATAGTTGCTGGGCTGATGACAATGCTGATGGGATTGTCAAAACTATATACAAAGGCCTGTGAGACGAGAACCTCAGCTGGGGCTGGCTTGAGGCAGGGAGAGCCCAGCTCTCTGAAAGCCCAGCAGAGGCTGGCCTCATATAAAGCAGAGCTCTTCAAGAGGAGGGATCATATTTGTTTCACAAGTCCTTCTTCTATCCAGTCCCCTGCTGTGCACAGGGATTTGGGCCAGAGAGAGAGAATCAGTGAAAGTGTCTACTAGCCTGTTGACGGTTACCTGTTGCTCTTTTTGGTTTCTAGGAGACAACGGCCCATGGGCTCAGAAGTGTGAGCTGGCGGGCAGCGTGGGTCCCTTCACTGGATCGTGGCAAAGTCATCAAGGTAGGGGCCTCGGCTGGGGTCGGTGCATCCACTGCGGGTGCCGAGCCCAGGCTGGGGTGTGAGATGCTGCCTCTGGGAGGACCAGCTTATGTCCAGGCCTTAGGGGCGTCATTGGGAAACAGGGACAAGTTGCTCACCAGCCACCAGCTCCCAGAGAAGAAACAGATGGGGACAGAGAGGGTGTCTGTTTGGCAGGACCATCCTTTTCTCTCCTTTTCTCCCTGGACTCCCTCAAGGGACCTGCCCTCTCCCCTACAAGCCCATCCATGGACCTTCCAACAGATACATTTTGCCGTTTCTTTCATCCCGCTGCTCTGCTCTTTCTCCTTCCTTCTTTTTCTTGGCTTTTTTTTTTAAAAAATCATCCCTCCATCCATCCAACCATTCATTCATTCATTCAAGAAATATTTAGTGTGCAACTATGCAAAGTTCCTATATACATGATCTCTAAACCTTATAATCATAAAAGGTATGTTGTAATAACTCCATTTACAGATGAAGAAAGAGAGAGGCTCAGAGAGGCTAAGTAACTTGTCCACGTTCACACAGTTTGTGAGGATGGAGCCAAGCTTGCTAGCAAAGTTAAAGTTGGTGATCTCCCCATTACCCTCTTCTTCCCCTCTCTATCCTCAGTCCCCAAGCCCAGCCCCCATCTGCTCTGGGACAGTTTCCCCACAAGGACCTCACTTTCTGAGAGAGCAGCCATGCAGTATGGACCAAAGGCTTGAAAAATATGCATGCTTGTTAACATATCAATTCTTCCTCTAAGAATTTGTCTTAAAGAAATAATTAGCCAAGTGCGTAATGGTGTATGTAAAAGAATGCTCATTGCAGTAGGTTTTTAGAAAAACAGTTGGACATAACTCAAGTGTCCAGCAAGAGAGGAGTGTTAAGGAAATTATGATACATTTATTTAAAGAAATATTAAGGAACCACTGAAATGGTGCATATTATCGACCCAGAAACATTTACATTAAATACTTTTCAGTGAATAAAACAGGTTAAGAAACAATATGTGAAGTATGACTTTATTATATAAAAATAAGAATATGTATACTCAGAAAAATCTTGAAAGGCAACAAAAGGTAACAACAGATTAGCAGTAATTGCCTCTGGGAAGAGGAGGGAGGGTTTAAGTGTGATTTTGCCCACAACAAACTTGTATTATTTGTATCCTAAAATATTCAAATAAATTTTTAGAAGGTGCTTGTAGCCAAGGGGTTCAGAGGTGGGCTTGGCAAGATCACCCCCTGGAGCTGGGTTTTCCCTGCCGTGCAGCTTGCTCCTGAGCTATGGCCCCACTGTCTCCAGGTCGGAGAACACCAACTCCTTTTCATTTTAGTCTGGCAGAATATTTGTTGTAACTAGAAACAGGGACATTCGTGCACCTCGTAGCTGGTGGCAAGAAGGAAATGCTGATCATTCATTTTTATTTGTCAACTGTAACCTGGTGTCCCTTGGATCAGATCCCTTGAGAACTTTACAACTGAGTGGCTGCTGGGACTGTGGCCGCATCTTGTGTCTGGAGGTTTGAGTTGGGAGTCAGGAGAACTGGGTGCCACCTCCGCCTGACCTGCGCAGTGACCAGATTACTTCGTCTTTCAGCATGTTGGTGCTTCTCTCTCTCTATATTGATTTCTTTGGTTCCCTCCAGTTCAAGAACGGTGTGATTTAGTTCTGGTTCCTGGAGAGGTGGACCAGGAAAAGACGCTTGGATTGGAGGTGGGTGGAAATGTGTCTAAGACCTGCAACAGCAGCCTAGAGAAATACGGTGTGGGCTGGGAGTGGTTTTTTGCATTAGCTGATTATAATTCCTCTTCTCTGTACCTGGGTTACCCTTGGGTCAGGCTGCCATCATCAATGCTCAGCTGGGAAGCCTGGAAGAGCCTAGAATCAGGACTCTCAGGGGTAAAAGTCCAGAAGGCATAGAGATCAAGGATGAGGGGGTAGACATCTGTCAGTAAGTGGCTCCTCTGTGAGGAGCTCTCTGCTCCCTAAGATGACCTTTAATCTCCTTTCTGAGGACCTGCCTTATCTTGTCTTTCCCCCCTTGTAAGACAGTTTTGAAACAGTGAATCAAGTTTAAGGATGTGGACTGGGGCCCCATTCTTCGATGGAAGAACTTTACCATATGAGAAACACGTTTACTAGCTGGGCAATCTGTATCTCTCCCTTCCTTCCATTTGTTGAGCAACTACTATGTGCCAGGAAGGGTGCTCAGTGTTTGGGACGCAAAGACCAACCTAGCCCCTGGCTTTAAGGAATGACAGTCTAGAGCAGCGTTTCTCAGACTTCAATGTGCAGATAGTCCCCTGGGGATCCTGCTAAACTGCAGTTCTGACCCAGTAGATCTGGGATGGTGATGGAGATGTTGCATTTCTAACAAGCTTCTCAGGGATGCTGATGCGGCTGGTCCAGGGACCACACTTTGAGAACCACCAATTTAGAATATCCACATCTAGACCAGGAGTCTAGAGTCATCCGAGTCTAGAACTTTTGGATCTAGACCAGGGGTTATCAAGGTATGGTCCCAGCAACATTAGCACCACCTGAGAACTTGTGAGCAAATGCAAATTCTAGGGCCTCACCCCAGACCTAGTGAATCAGAAACCAGTAGTCTGTGTTGTAACAAGTCCTTCAGGAGATTTTGTTGCAGGTTAAAATTCGGGAACCACTGGTCTAGAACTACACTGTCTGATACGCCAGGCACCCATCACACATGACTATTTATATTAAAATTAAATTAAAATTCAGTTCCTTAGTCACACTAGCCACACTTCAAGGGCTCAGAAGCCACATGCGACTGGTGGCTACCATATTGGATAGTGCAAATATAGAACATTTCCATCATTGCAGAAAGTTCTCTTGGGCAGTGCTGGGAGCAAACACGTAAGCAGCTGATTATAATCAGGGTAAGAACTCCATGGTAGAGGGGAGCACAGGGGCATCTCACCCACATGGGAGGGGGAGCAAGAAAGCTTCCTGAGCGGTGTGAGTTTTGAAGAATGAGTAGGAGGCAGCCGGGGATTTGCTGGGGAGGAGGTTCCGCGTAGCCTGGGCAAGAGTGGGAAGACCAGAGAGCAGGAGCTGCCTGGCTGTCTTTGTGTCTGGAGCTCATGGGAGCGTGTTGAGTAGAGACAGACGAGGCTGAAGGGAAAGCCGGGGCCAGTGTTCAAAGGTCTTTTCCTTTGGGGGAACACTTTCGGCCTTAATTCTAAAGAAATGTGAAATCGTGGAAGGGTTTTAAGAGTGAGAGTGACATTCCAAACTGGGATGAAATTCATGAAACATAAAATTAACCACTTAAAGTCGTACAATTCAGTGGCATTTAGCACATTCACAATGTTGTGCAACTGTCACCTCTGCTGACTCCCCAAACATTTTCATCACCCCAAAAGAAAACCCTATACCCTTTAAACACAAGCTCCCCACTTCCCACTCCTGCCGGCATATTGTTCAATTTTAAAAGACCCTCTAACATTCATGGGGCTGAGAGGAGGGAGAGGGGCAGGGACTAGACTCATTCTCACTGAGCCAAAGATAACAAATGAGAGAGGCGAGTGATGGCATCTCCAGGAATATCCCCGCATCCCACGAATGCCAGGGTGGGGGGTGGGGGCTCAGTGGTCTTTGTTCCAGCCAGCCTGTTGGCCAAATGAGGAAACTGAGGCTGAGCAGGGTGGAGGGCTCTCCTGAGGCCGGCCATCCACCGAGGGGCCACATGGTTTGACCACCACCCACTCATTCCTCAACCCACATGCTTGTTATTCCTCACGCCTTCTTCTACCCTACTGCCTGCTCAGCCATCTGGAAAGCCCTGCCTTGCTTCTTTGGACCCCTTGGTTGTCAAGGAAAATGTCGTTAGCCCCCGTGACAGTCTGAATCTTCCTAAATCTGTGGGAGGCAGAGTGGAGAGGTGGAAAGAGCTAATGGCTTCAGAGGCCCAGGTGGGGTTTGAATCTCAACTCAGCTTAGGAACTGGTGCCCGCCGGGCCCTGCCCCTTTTCGGCCCAGTTTCCTTCTCTGTCATGTGGGGTGGTGGACCCACCTTGCCGGCCTGTTGGGGGATCAACTGGGATCCAGAAGGCACTCGGCCTTGCTTTTGGCCTCTTCTAACCCCTGTAAGACTCCATTTCTTCACTCCCAGCTGAAACGAACTGGGGACACCCCAAGAAGAGAAGAACTGGAAGGGGATCAGAAAATGCCCTGGAAGAGATTTCCCCGCTAAAGTACACAGGCCACTTAAATAACATGTGGATGACTTTACAAGTGCTCTAGGCCTCTGTCTCGGGAGACTTTGCTCTGAAGCTGGATTTCGGTCATCTCAAGAGAACACTCTTTTTTGGGCAAGGCCTTGCATGGACGTTGCTGCTCGATGTGGTATCTGTGGGGCACAGCACTTGCATTTGTGGTGGGGTGAGGGCTGGATGCCGTTCTCTTCTTTTCTCAGGAGATCTTGGAGGCGAACTTTGCCTAGAGGTAAACACTTCCCCTTCCTCATGTTCCAAACCAGCTTCCTGTCAACTACTCCACAGCCTTCCTTCTCCTCTCTGCCCGGAACGCGCTGGGGGGCTGTGGGGAGCCAGGCAGAGCCCTTCGTGGAAGCAGTGTGGCCAGGGGCTCAGGTCACGACGGGCTGGGGGTCCCTCTGGACCACCTGCTCCTCCTCAGCCAGGTTCCTCATCAGTGGGATGCCTGCACATCCTGCTGTGTGGGGGCCAGTCTCGAGACAGATGAAAGAGGGAAGACAGTCAATGTTTTCGCAACAGAGTAGGACAAACAGTACCCAGAGCCCTGCTCCTTTCTTCCCGCAGCCAGCCTGCTACGTCAGGCCACGCGCTGCCTTCCCCTGTTCCCAGGGCCCCTGGGCCCCCCTCCTCGTCTTCCCTTTCCTTTCCTGGCCAAGCCGCCTCGCTCAGCTGATGGGATGAGGCAGCGTCTCCTGGAGTCGTCTTTTCATCCTGTGCTGGAGTGAGGATGCTCCACTGGGCTTGGCTTGT